TTTAGTCAATACATTAAATCTCTGAGAAGTATAATTCTGATACCACAGAATATAATGCAGTCAGTGAACGCTATTAAAACATATGATTTATTTTTATATGATTTATTTGCGTTCACTCTAATTGCAGGGTATAATATGATAAACATATTTTTGTGTGTTAATTATACCCTAACCCCGGGTTCTTACATTTTATTTTCTCGAAAATATCCTTAAAGCAGTAGTTCGTCTTAAAGAAATTGAACTTCATACGAATGACTTACACAGAAACGCAAATAGCGTGTTAGAGAACATAGCTTGTTAGCAAAAGTGATTCGATGAAGTAACTAGACACCCAATAACTGAACGAAGAGACCAGACCAGACTGCAATTAATGCCAATAAAATAAAAATTGGTACATTTTTTTCCAGCATAACACTTTGATACCGTGAAGAAACTTTGTCGAATTTTGGCCAACTACATTATGAAAAGAAACTTTAATATTTCATTTGCATATCTTGATATACCTTGAATCAGTTTTGGCTATTATACAAATATTTTATTTATAATATACGTAACTACTATTTGCAGTTGAAATACAAAATTACTAAAATATCAAGCTAATATAGGATCCGAACTGTTAATCAATGTTTCGTTGGCTTAATTTGCTCCGATAATGGGCTATTAGCAAACCGACGATATTGTTAACTTGCGGCATATCGTAACAAAAATTAACATATTTTACTTTAAATCATTTATAAATTGAACGATATAAAATTCATGTATTTTCCGATGGCGTCGCAGAAGCACGCTTAGGTTATATAATAAATTATTTCCCCCTTCGGTGATTATCTAACTGCAAGAAATAAAATCCTTTTGTTCGTAAGGTCCCAATCTTGTTATATCTCAAAAAAAGTTTGCTTGTTAAATAATTCTGGTTGTTACGTAGTTTTTATAGTATCTGCTGTACAATCTCGTTTCTTTTATGGGGTGCTAAAAAGTTTGAGTGGAATTCTTTTAACCCCAGAAAAGATTTACAATGTTTTAAGCATTCTTCAGTAATCATATATTTACAATACTATAAAATTTATGCTATTAACTGTTTATTAGTATGTAGTAACAGGGTATTTATCGGTTAAAATATTTAAATAATAATTTTCGAGAGTATTTGTTTTTTTTTTTATATATCCGACACATCGTAGAAATGCAGATTGTTTGTACATAAACCGTGGAGGTAAAATTATTTCCACTCCACGTTGGAACTCAGGCCAAGATATTCGTCCCCTCCGACCGGGTTCCCACCATGTCGTGGTGAACGGGCTTTGTATTCATGGATTTGTATCTTTGTATTCGCTATAAGTTGGTTCATTGAGCGAACTTTGGATGCATGCAAAGAGGGTGGAGGGAAATATTAGCGATGGCTGAGGTGGAGCCACTCTCCATATCGGTATTGCGTTTGCCCAATATCTCTACCCTCCGCGACTATGGGGGGCATCATCGTTGATGCAGGGACATTCTCGAGGGTTCTCCTTATATTACGTGACCGAGATGTAGTCAGTGGCAGAACCATCGATCAAGTTCGCCACTGGGGGCCGGTATGCTCTACTAGCTGCCATGGCTGCTGGGCAGTGGGCTCGGGGGAGTCTCAGCGGTGAACATCGTGAGGTAACCGTGCCGACTATGCCTTTATACCTTGAACAAAGGATGTCTGTACCCAGGAGTGGGATATTTGTAGGCATTTACTTTACTAAATATATCATGTAAAATCGTACCTTAGAAATTTTTTATATGGTAGGTGCATGTGTGGTGTTGCGTGAAAACAGTTTTCACTGCTGCAGGAAAGGTCCGTCTGGGTAATTACCACGACCTCACAGAAGACCGTCTTAAAGTAGAATTGTTACACTTTTGCGTTTCGTCTGGTGAGTGAGGTAGCCGGGACCCACTTTATTTAAAGATGCCAATGCATTTCCAACCCTACTGTTGTTGCAATTAATTTCCATGGGCGGCAGTCATTACTTAAAATCAGGTGAAACGCCAGCTCGTTTGCAATTTTTAATGTATAAAAAAAAAGGAAAAAATGTGACATTTTACATATAAAAACTGAACCGAATTTGTTCTAAAACCAGATTTTTCATTCAGAATTGTAAAAAATGTGCCAACACCGAGTAAGCACCTAAATGAGGATAAATGAAACGTGATAAGTAATTTTCCATCTTTAATTTCAAACAAAATTAAATACATCTTTACAGCAAAATTTATTTACTTGAATTAGAATATCTACCGTATTCTTATAATAAATGTGACTATAAACCGAACTTAGCGTCGTGAACACTAGGAAAGACGTAGCCTTGAACATACAATAGAAGACTGCCAGTTTAGATAAACCGTTACATTGTGAGCTGACGTGTATTTTCTATTTATAGATAGACATATAGACGTAGATATGATTTACTAACATTGACCATACAAACATTTACGAAGTTTAATAATACTATTTGTTTATAACACTCATAATATTTCAACATACATTTTTCTTCACTTACAACAATTATTGACTTACTAACAGAGAAAATAGTATTCAACAACAATTTTACACTACAACAGCTTTAAATGCTAGATTGATATGGTTTATAATTTTGGAAAAAGTTATCAAATAATACCGCGAATAATGCGGCGCTTGGTACGATAAGATACTTGATATTATAAGTTCAATTAAATTATTATATTAATTAAATTATTATAACGACTAAACTCTCACCGAACTCATCCCACTTACACTGATGTAGGACCTTCAATAGGTCCGAAACTAGTCAGTGCCTACACCGATTGGACGAGGTCTTAGCTATTTTATTTATTTGGTTAATAATGTTTTACGAAAGTTTTTATGATATGTTTAATGTTGGTTCCTTGGAATTCTGTCTGATACATTTTTAGGGCCCCACACGCAATATTACAGAAGAGACAGCAATAAAACGGGAACAGGTAAAATCCATAAAGTCAGCTTACAACACATTCATTACCACATCAAGAAAGAAATATTCCGTCCCTGTTTTGCGTCAGACCTTTATTATAGCGAAGAATATAATTTTCGTAATGCATCACAACACCACATGTACTCTAACATCGAATAGAAGTATAAGAGAAGATACCCAGAACGATTAGCGAAGTAATGAAGTGAATTTTTTTTTATTATCTAATCAGGTTTTTTGACTCTGAAATTTTACATATTATATTTACTTTTAAACACGAACATTAATAGATGCAGACGTCTTAATGTTGTGTACAGAGAACTACTCGTAATTATAATGCTTTTTAGATAAATGGGTAAATATATGTGTTTTTAATGTGTAAGTAAACATGTGATAATAGAATATCAATCTGAATAATATGATATTACATATTCCACCTCGCGTCTATCACAAGGTACACATTTATATTTCTCTTTAAGATATACTTGTAATGTTATACTCGTTTAAAGTACAAGTACAACTCAAAATGACGAATTAAAACATTTCGAATTATTATTAAAGTTAATCGTTCGTGCGTGTATCACAAATGATTGACTTTAATTCATGATAATAACATTATAATAGTGTATATGTATATGTAATTATTATATATTCTTAAAAGTACAGCTTATATCAGACTAAGGGATATGTTTTTGATTTCATTTATCACTTGTATAAGTCCGTTTTTTGATAATCTATAGTATACACTACACTGTATGTGTATATGATAGAATGCATACTGAATATTTTTATCCAAAACAACTTCGTGAATGTGCTGTGAATGCGTTAGCCAAATAATGCATGAATGTGCTAGAAGGCTAATAAAAAGCAAACGGAAAAATATTGGTTCAAAATAAAAATAAACACTAGAGCATACCGAAGAACATTAAAGCAAATGACGTTTAAAGTCACATTTATTACTATACTATTTATATCCATAAAATTTATAATTTTTTAAAAAATACTATTAATTAAGCTGTAAAACCTAAAAACTCAACTACTAAATTGAACTATTCAAAAGGTAAGAAGGAGCAAGAAACAAACTTAAAGAAAAAACTAAAAGAATAATTACACTCAACATGCAACAATTTAATACCACTAGACGGAAATTTCTAACATCTGTTGAGTATATGAACACTAGATTAAATATACAATATTTAACAGCACATTTTTATTGCATAACGTAATCTAACTTTATCGACTACATCTAAACTATAAGAAACATTACATTCACGGGGTCTGATAACAATAGCGAGATTATTGCATAGTAAAGCTAAATTATAACGTAATGAATAAGAGGTAGCATTGATAAATGGTTATTCTGAAACTCTTAATGATGTTTTATGTGTTAAATAGAATAATGTAAATATTATGAGAACTTCATGTGTTCACAAGTATAGAATTATATAATTGTTCATATTGTAATATTCAACATGGTAAAGGCGCAAAAGCTTAAATAGGACATACATGTAGGTACAAATACATTGTAAAGTTAAGGAGTAAACGATAAAAAATATTACACGTTTTGTTTTACATTAGAGGTATAGTATTAAAATAAGAAACAATTGTGCTCTAAATCGTTGAAAGTTTACATTTTATAGCAACTTACACTTCGAATTACTCTTTTCAAAAAGTTTTAAATGCCTTCACTTCGCACACACTCTTTGGTTGTTAGACATATTAAACTACGGTAAGGCATAGCTATTGTTAAATATTTTAATTTACGTAGTGTATAACACTAACTTACGTTTCAAGGTTTATTTTACCGATCCCAATTTATTTATCACAAATTACTCGCTCCCAAATATTACTAATTTTGATCTACTCAGCCCAAATTTGATATGTATCGTAGTTTATTGCACAAATTCATCACGTTACAAAGTTTTCAACAGAATATAAAAGACGAATGTCACATCCAGCTATCCGGCCACAGCTAGCTTGGGGTAGACGCTTCGCGTTAAATTAAAAGGGTTAACTTAAATCACAAATTTACAAAATAATTTCAATATTACTTTAGAGCCATCTAGCGGCGATTACGAGGAAGGCGTTCGTCGTTATAATCGGGCAAGTTTTGATTGCGCTAGAGGTTCGCCCGTACGCTGGTTTCCTCTTACAGGTCATCTTGTCCAGTGGCATCTTGGCAACGCTGTATTCCCGGTGCTCGTTCACCATAGTGCAGACTGTCCGCTTCTTCTGCATCATCTCGTCGTCTCGGTCCCTAAGACCCGCCAACCAAGCTTCGTACCAAGCCAGCTCGCAGTCGCAAATCAATGGATTATCTACAAATATTAATCATTTTTACTGGTTTTGTTTTACTTTACTTTTACGTTTTTTACTGTAGTCAGCAGCGAAAAATACTATTTGGACTATTTCATTACCCATTATGTCCACCACACGCAGTGTATCCAATATTGGCTCCATTATCTCTTCCGGAATGTGTTGAAGTTTATTGTTCTGCAGATTGAGCGTTTCCAGCGAATTGAGATTGTCAAAGCCCATTGTCGGTAATTGATGAATCCTGTGAAAAGGTGATATATCGTTATCCAAATTAAGCAAAGTTAAAAATGTGATAATTGCTCTAAAACGTATAATTTTTTTGAAAATAAATACTTATTATAGATAAAGCCTATATTCGTCAAAATGTTTTTCATTGACGGATATCGACCGACCCTACAGATACACTAATCACCCACCGTTACTTTAACCGACTTTGGTATATGATATTTTATATCAAATCGGTTTTATATAAAATTCATTATATTTTGCGCCACACGTAGAATCTTTTTGATTTATAATATTAGAGGAAGATAAATGTTATAAGTATTAGTATTTATAAAATAAGATAAATTAGGTTTAGGTACCGTTAATTTATTGCTAGCTGATAGGTTAGGTTCGCCAAACATACATTTTTACATAATAAATAACCCCTCGAACCGGTACGACATAAAAAAACTGCAAGATTTAATTTCTTCTGTTCTATTATATATATAATATTATTCTAAAAAGCTTACATGTTTTTTTGCAGATTGAGGAAGGTGATAGAGTCTCCATAGCCGGTAAAAGCGTCCTCGCTTATATACGTAATGTTATTAGAACGCAAATCAAGATGCCGCAGGCGATGCAGTGGGCGTAGAGCATCCGAAGGTATGTCGTGGAGACGGTTATCCCCCAGGCGTAGGTATTGCAAATTTTCTGCGAAATAAACACACGCTTAATTCGTTAGCAGTAATGAGTTATTATTAATTACCTGAACAAAACCCTTATTTATTTCTATATTATTAACAGTTAAAATTAGGGTCGTAGTTCGTTACAAAAAATCAAATCATCGTCATTTTCACAGTTCTGCCCTTATCCCAGCAAGATGGAGTCGGTGACATGAGATAACTCTCAACATAATTGTCGTAAGTAGTTTTGACTAGGTTTTTACGACCAGCCGCCTGCCTGAATTCAACCCTCCTCGGGAACAAAAACAGATCCGGAACAATTATCTGTGGGTACACAATATAGACAAAAGAGCCGTGATAGCTCAGTGTCCGGACGCCCGCCTATAATTCAATATACTCGAGCAACATGAGTTCGATCCCCGGTGCCGGCACCAATCAAATTGTTAATTTTAAGTGCCGAACTATAACGTGCTCAGCGGTGAAGGAAAACATCGCGAGGAAACCTGCATATTTTCAAATTAATAAAAAAAAAATATTTCGAAGATATGTGAAGTCAATCCGCAGTGGGGCCGCGTGTGGAATATGCCCTGATCCCCTTTGTACAGAGAAGGCCTTTGCCCAGCCGTGGGACATGTATAGGCTGATACTTTACTTTTTTTATACAATATACTGGTCCTGAGTGGGAATCGAACCCACGAGCTTCGGTGGTGAAGCCAATAGCTTAGCAACTGCGCCACCGAGTCATCGGTACCTACAAATATTATAAATATATCTGCCAGTAGAAGCATAGCAGAAAATCAGCATAAGATAATCTATTTATTGGATATCAGCAAATAAAGTCAGTAATAACTTAAACTGTTGAATAGTTACATAGTTATACATATTAATAGATAGACGGTTCTCCTCTTTTGTTATCTAATAATTTTTTTCCAATATAAGAATAAATACAGAAAATACACTTTTAAGGTGATCATGTTTCAATTTTCTGGTAGAATTCGTAGAGTATACTCTTTGTTATAGCGAACAAAGCACCGCTTACCTTCCAGGCCGGCGAACGCTTTCTCATCAATCCTTTGTATTTGATTGCCTTCCAGTTCTAGTGAGTTCAGGAAGGTCAAATGCGAGAATACCTGAGCTGGTACTTCACGCAGCTGATTGTGAGCAAGCCCCAAAGAATCCAAATTTCGTAACCCTTTAATAAAAATTATACAAATACAGTAGTAACAAGTATTATTTGTTTACTTTTAGAAGAATCTAAGAAGGTATTCATACTTCATATTACTTATACCTGCAAAGTCACCCTCTGTGATCGTGGTGATTCGGTTTTCCTGCATTTCTAGCTTTTTTAAGTTTTCCAACAGAGCTAAAGCTTTTTGGGGTACAGCTGTTAGTTCGTTACCTCCAATGTTCAGCCTTTTCAGTTTTCTGCGAAATAAAATAACAGAATGTAATGTTCTATTTAGACATTTAATTTTTTAACGAAAACCGTATTCTAATATTGAAATTGATAAATAAAATAAAATTCTGGGACTACTCACTTTTCCAGTCCTTTGAAAGCCTCGGCATCTACAACAGATATTCTGTTTTCATATAGAGTTAAAATCTCTAAAGTATCGAGGCCGATAAAAGCTCTGTTATGAACGGCAGTCACCTAGAAAAATCCAAACCGATTTTATATCAAACAGAAGATTAAATATTTATTGTTAATTTATCTTGTACATATTTTTAAAATTTGGTGAAAAATAACAAATGCTGGTAATTTATTATAAAAGTATGTATTTTATGTCGGAAAAGATAATTAATTTTACATATATAATTCATAACACGAATTTTTATGTGATTTATAACCTATACTTTCTTATATAAATAATTTAGTTCCGGTAATACACGGTAGCTAGTACGAGTACAAAAATTATTACATATTCAAATAACTTCGTGACTTCCACACGTTAGTCTCATGCAAATGTTTCTTCGGAATCTGAACGCCTATTTGTGCAGGTCTATTCTACTTCTCTATTATATTAAATGCCAGTTTGCAATATTTTTATTCGATGAACCATTAACAAAGAACACGTCAAGTCAAAAGTTAATAAAAATAGCGGGCATCACTGGAAACTCATTCTAGTGAATACTCTTTATTTCTTGATCGTGCTGTAAGAGGAGTAAGATTTTCCATTATAACTCTATTATATATATTCTGTCACGAAATTTGAAACGTAATAAGCTTACCTTATTGTGATTCATATTCAAAATCAGCAAGTGATTGAGATGCGTGAAGGATGACGTGGGTATCGTAGCCAAACTGTTCTGAGAGACGTCGAGTTGCGTCAGTTTGTTTCCTGTTGATTGATAATCTGCTTGAGTGCCGCACAACAGATTTGAAGTTTATTTGCATAGAATCTGTATGCGCCATACCAAGTACGAATAGGGCCGGAGTTATACAAGATAATCGCATGCCAGCGGCAATTTCTTGCTATACTATAACCTATCGCCAAGTGTAGACAAACAGCGTGACTTTCGCCAATTGAAAGCGAATATCAACACATCAACTCTCCGATAACCGCACGGTAAATCATCGTAGTTATATTATCTAATGACAGCGTACATCGTATAAGAAGTTTACGAATTCTAATTTATATGATGAAATAAGTGAGAAACATTATTAATTATTTCAAAATCAGAGAAGAGGTATTTTATAGAGAAACTTAAAAGCATAAAACAATGCAACATAATTTTTTATTTAAACAGAACATACTCCGCCTTTTTATAATATTCAAGTTCATGAGACGGTTATCTTTCGGTAATCGCGAATACTGTTATGTTTATAGAACGTCAAGTCAACAAATAGTGTTTAAACGTAAAATAGTGTACTTGTGCCGTACATCAAACTTACTTTTAAGTTATGTTAAAATGCTATCTTAGTTGAATAAGAATGATAGCTCACCAATAGAACTCAGTGATGAATCTTCAATTACAGCTAAGCTGCTGTTGTGCACAGTAAGGTGGCGGATGTCGAGGCCCAGGAAAATGTACGACGGAAGTTTGGCTAAGTTATTGTGGCGGAGTTTCAAGTAGAATATAATCATCGGCTTCGATCGCAGTGTGTTCATGGCCTAAAACAATTTAATTTATTTCATGAGAATAAATGTAAGATAGATATTGTGAAGTAAAAGGCGCAAATTTGAGTCTTGCTTATATTACGTATGTGTGCCATTTCTTAGAAACAATAAACCGCAGCGTTCTCAGCACTTCAAAACCTTTTGAAAGAATTATATCATCGGATTATTTTTGCCATTATAAGGTAAACAAATTTCAATGGTTAAGTATTAATTTATTCAGTGAAAAAATAAAATTAGCGTTTTTGACACTACGACAGAAATATAGGTAACTAAATGTCAATATTTTGATTATTGTTAAAATACAAATTGCGTGGTGGACAATGCCTTAATACCCTCTGTACAGAGGAACCTTTGCCCAGCAGTGGAACATATAAAGGCTGTCTTTACTTTAAACGGATTGCATCGATACGTGAACTTCACGACTTCAAATCCTTCGCTGAAGTTGATCAACGGTAATCAACGGACTGCTGTTTTATATTTTGACTGTCACTCACATTTAAATGTCATCTCTTAGGCAGACTGGCACTAAAAGTAATAATAGATAATCCTTAATTATCAACCTTTTGTATATGTTGCTGTTCTGTGAACTCGCAAAGTATGTCCAGCCCGTTCTTTTTGACCGTGCAGCTGCAGGGCGTGATGGTGTTTGGGGTTGGACACTGCTGGGCCCCTTGGGGGTGCACCGGCCTGGCGCACAGCACCACGCAGCAAAGCAGCAGCCAGCGCAGAACCATCGCGGAAGCCTGCGATCGAAGAAAAAACCCGTGACGCAATCAAAGCCTTTCACATTGGTGGGCGTACGCTTACTTAGAGAATGGGCTGTGAAACGGACAGTAACTGAGTTTGTGCGTTTATTATCTACGGCTGCAACGCTACATACCATTCGATGGGATAGCAGTTCACAGAGCTTCTTGCCGAATAAGAGCTTTAATTAAGTCTATATTGAATAAAGAAATTTTTAACTTTGACTTCGAATTGTAAAAGGAACGCTTTGTACGTTCAGTAGACCAGCATCCATTACGTGAACTGTTCAAGTTTAAGTTCCCATATTTCATATTTTTATAACAACTGTGGTATGGTGTATTGTTTGTACCGATCAAATGATTTTATGGAAAACGCTTTTCATAGTAAACTTAGTTATTTACTCATCACCATTACTTACCTTCTTTATTAAATGGCAAATATTAGCGAGCTTTGATGTCTGAAAATGATTGTAGCAATGTCCCTCTCTGTAGCCCTAGGTCATGTTCGTAAACCTTTATCAGCAGTACTGTTAAAAATAAAATAAAATTAATAAAAATTCGGAAAAAGATATACCTATTTTTGAAATAGGTACTTATTATCCCCAATCAAACAGCGTCAATACAAGTGTACAGAAGTTTATGTAAGGTAAGGTTCAAATAAAGTTTCTTTTGAAAGTCTTATTTATCACAAAAAAGGTAAGGTTTTAATTATTTCGAAGAATTGATTGCTTTTTATTTCTGTTAGTAACGTCAATATAATATTAAAATATGTAGAAAACGTACGAAAAGATTGTCGCCCCTGTGGGAATCGAACCCACGTCTTCGGCATTCGCGGCCTGACGCTCTAGCCACTGAGCTAAACGGATGATTGCCACATCGACAAAAATCTTAACGTCTTTTTCTACATTGTTTCTTAGCATTTGAAGCAATGCTTGGCGCATCCATTGTTATATCCTTTCCAGCATATAAACAATTTCGAATATCGTTTTACAACGATAATTCGAATTAATCGATTCAATATGATATGTTAAATTAAAACAAAAGTAAATGAATAGTCATTGTTATGAAAAAGTCTACAAATTTTTTTATAAAACTAAGTATCATAAAACACCATTTTATTAAACCAAGAGGCTTTTTTATGAGGAAAATTAAAGCATTTAATCCATGGAGCTTATTGGTTTAGAAAACAAATCAAAAGCAGGCAGTACTTTTCTTTCCTAAGGGAAATTTAAAATGCCTTGATTCGATTATTTCCGTGAATCACCGGCTCCAAAGCCCGTTTAACGAACGAATCCGAAAGCTTTTTCGAAGTGGAAATTATTTAAGCAACATGATTTTTTTCAATATGTAAATGATGTTTATATCTTCAGTTTATTGAAAATTATTTATGTTTATTTTTATGTTGGTTTTTATTATTATGTTGGCCATTGGTGTATTGTTATATTCAATAACATCATTACAAGTAATTTTGTGTTCTTAAAAATAATTAAAATTATAATTAACTCATTACTAAATATTAATCACTGATAGATCTTTCAAATATAAGCCTACGTAAACCAAATGTATCTCATTATTGTGACTCGAATAATACTATTTTACATTTACATTTATCATGAGAGGTTTAATTTTAACATAACTTTTATTTTACTACTTGATATTATATACTTACTTTAATTTTATTAAACCATGCTAAAAAAAATAATTTATGTAGGTATATAATGTATTCTTTATCTTAAACGACGCAGGGCCGGAATAGAGGTACCCTTAAAATGAAATTGATTCTTTGAGAGACTATTCGCTTACCCTTAGAAGTAATTACTTTATAAAGCGGTCATGGGAGTAATAAGGCTATGTTGTTTAATCTAGTTCAAACACGATAGAGTACATTTACATTTTGTTCCGTTTAATTAAGTTTAACACAGTAAGATATTAATCAAGTAAAAGTTATTGATTGAAAGTAAGTAATAACGTTAACTTTAACTGAATATTTCTTTAAAATAAAGTAAATATCAACACAACGGTCAAAAAGAAACTTAAATATTCTTATTCTTTTTCTTTACAGAACATAAATAAAAAACTAAGATTAATTTTTGAGATAAACGTAAGTGTATTAAATTGACGGCGAATTTTTTTTGGTATTATATCATTATATTGTTAATGCTAATGTTGAAAATAATATAAACAAAAATAATTGAGTGTTTAAAAGTAATATTAAATGTATTTATTTAACTTTTCAGAATTCTCTTGTTTGATTAAATATGACTATAAATGAAAGAAAAAAGAAAATTTCTTTATATGACATCACTTAAAAAAGTACATATTCAAAACATAAACAGAAAAAAACTATTGTGACATCAAATTGGAACTCCAATTCAGCAAAATGCTGCAGTTCTATTAAAATATGGAATATGCATAAAAATTTCTACAAAATATTCGTCAAGTACAACGGATATTTTCGTATTAATAGTTCAATTGGCATCAATAATACATAATGCAATAACATGGGTTTATAGTTTTTACCTTATTAAGTAACACTTTTCTTAGCTTCTTTTACTTATAAATCGATACTGTCAGTAAAGTGGACACAATTCACGGGTTCAATAAATGTTCGCATCACACGCAATTCGAGAACAATAGAAAGTAAATCAAACAAGTGATTCGCACACAAGCCTAAAACTCCGTATCCATCGTTAGAAACTTTGGTTTTACTTCAGGGACGGGCAATTATCTCCTGTATATAAATAACGTTAAATCCGTTTATATGGCGACGGATCGCTTCTGCGCATATCATCGCGCGACTGTAAGGCCCCTTCGGTTGTTCATCCATTATCATTTGATGGGCCATCTCCGTTTAGATACGTGTGCCGTTGTGCGAACGAGAGAGTAGCCGTATCGTTTGCTGACGAATAGCTGACGGTTCACGTCGCATCTGCGGTCAACGGTTACGCGTGTGAGTCGCCGAACCGAACTGAACTCGTCCACGTCTAACTCTACTGCCAACTTACTGAAGCCATTGTATTTCTTAAATCAAACTTTATCGTCGTTAAATCCTTCGCCCGCATTGCTAACCTTCAATAGAATCGGTTTTAACGTCCCGCGAGTCATTTCAGATGATTCGATCGCGCGGGTAAACCAAACATCGAAAAACATGGCCACGCTCATCAAATAAAACACAAAGTTAAAACTCTCTCTCTCGTAACACTCGTTTTCTCTACGTAAAACCGTATTACCCTCGATCCCCGATGAGCCTGCCTATTCGGGCAACAGCTGAACCTGTTGTGTGTCTCTACCTAAGTAAAATCCATTTGGTTTACTGGGCAAATTAGGCAAATTAGAGTTGAAACTATTTTAATAAGATGTGTGCTTTATTGCTTAATATTATAAGAACTGTTTGTTATGCTATATTAATGCAGAACTTGTGTTCCAGTGCAAATACGTATTGAATGAATGAAGTCATTCTCCTGTTTTATTCCACCCTGGATGCCGTTATGAATATAACCCAGGCAAAGAAGCACATTACCACTGAGGCATACAAAAAGGTCGTTATTATAATTGGATTGAATTCCCATATTTCTTTTTTGCTGATACGTTTCTTGCAGTAATTTTATATTTATGCTTAGTATGTTTATATTACTTCTTTAGCAATCTGATTGCAGCTTCATATTCATGACATTCACGTGTTCTTCATATTTTGGTTCTTTTTTAAGATTTTTACAATTATTGATTTAAAACATGTTGGGTCCGAAATTGGGCACAATATTTTCATATCATCTGCATAAAAAATTATTTTAGGAAACTTAAAACTTGAACTGATGTCATTGATAAGAGTTAGAAACAATAATCGTCCCAATAAGAACCCTTGTAGGACGTTAGAGGGAATTAATATAAATTATTAATAAATAATTTTGTTTGAATTCAGATAGAAGGAGGAAGGATTAAAATAATCCTTAGCTGAATTCAAACAACAGTTCGTCAACAGCTAGCAAACACCTTAAAACTTGAAAATAAGTGACGTTTAAGGAGGAATTCATAAGGAGTGCGGGACACAAAAAATCTTACTAACGTGATGTCAAGTAAAATGCACTTTCACCAAAACTTTACGTCGTAATCTCTCTTAGTCTTACCTAATTAGTGGTAATTATAATAAAATGTAACAATGTATATAATAAATGTAACATTAAAATGTACTAGGTAAACCTAGTAAATTTTATTTCTACATTTCTGGAGTAATGAATACATTTTGAACGTATTATGGTAGCTGTTATCGAGACAATAACACCAGCGTTAAGTGGAACCGTTATCCAACCGTTTCCTGCGTTGAATTGACCTTGCTCTTTAACTCATAGACTTATTTTATATTCAAATAAAATTGTAGTCTTAAGAAGGAGCTCAATAATGACTACTAAGTATAATTAGTCGATGGATGCAGGTGGCTCAGGATCGTACTTCGTGGCAGTCTATGGGGGAGGCCTACGTTCAGCAGTGGATTCAAACAGGCTGAAATGATGATGATGATGAAGTATAATTAATTACTATATTAAAAATTAGTGTTTTTACGATTTTGTATGATGGGCCCCTCCAATAACTTTTACTTCTTTAAAGGCTATTATAATATTCATGATTATTTAAATGATAACGCACTCTGGTAATGAATTGATCGCACAAGGCTCTTTTAATCGAAAATTTTATATTGTATTTAATATATTCACACTGTCAAAAAATGTAAAAAAAACTAGCCCACTGAGTTTCTTTCACCGGTTGTTCTCAAGTCAGAGGCTTTTCTTTTCGTGAACCGGAAATAGTATTTTGACTATCAATAAGTGAGTGTAATACTCCTATGTTGAATAAAATTGTTTCAATTTTAATTTGTAGGACTCGCACCTACTAAAATCCCACGCTAGTAACCAGCTACTCAAATGAGTTGTCACGGGAGCCCCTTTCAGAACACTACCGCGGCCCTTCCTCCGTATGGATTCGATAGCCCCATGCCCGCAGTGCTACCAGGATAGCTCAAGGCCGATTGGTGCTATCGAACTCATCAGGGTTGTTTTAAATGTCATTTGGGTCCTGCATCTGAATCGGCCTGCTGCCTCTCAAAGCGACCTTTGTTTCTCTGAAGGAAGAATGTGACCTACGGGCCATCGAGATTCAGTACGGACTATGCCCCGATGGCCATTGACTGTACTAATCGGCTTCCAAGAAAATTTTAATCAGATCGATTTTAAGGCACGCAGAACACCCTTTTTTATGTGAAACGTTGTCAAACGAGCAGACGGTTCACCTAATGTTAAGTGAATACCGCCGCTCATGACATCTGCCACACCCGAGGGTTACAGATGCGTTGACAACCTTTTGAAAAATTGGACTCCGGTTACCTCACTCACCAGACGAAGACGAAGGTGAAGACAATCTTGAAACATGTATGGTATAGTTGCTATGCTTCCTGAAAGCAAAGTTACCACTTTTAAACCGAACACATCAATCAAAAACTGTTTTTCAACTTTTTTGCTGGACAAAGTTTCATGTACAGCTTTTTGCCAGCGATTAAACGCCATTTTTAAGCTCACAAACTTTAATTTTTGAATATTATTTTTTTCCTAGGAAAAATACGTATAGAAAACAGTATCGCTATAGTATATTTGAACAAGTCCTTTTTGGGAGTTATTTTATTTAAGTTTATCGTGTGTCTTAGCTTGGTACGGGTGAGGTTACAGGTGAGTTTGACATGATTAGAGACTGAACAACTTTAACTCGAATTAAAAAGTTTCGATTATCGATTCTCAGGGCCTAGTCAGTGCAGCAATGTTAATCCATTGATATCCATTGATATCGATTTTTCATCTAGATATCTATTTTTCTCATTTCATTCATCCAGTTCATTGATATCTATTTTTATACATCCAGATTTTACATTAAAAAAATAGGGAAATCACTATTCGTGCGCTCTTAGCAATAAAGTCCAACATTGCCTTGCGTACATTGTAGCATCACAAATTAAGGAACTTAATAAGCGTGATTTGAATAACAGCTGTCACCTGTAACAACGTAGCACTACAATATTCAGAAAAGAGAGAAAGACTAAGGTAGTGTAAGTTTTTTATGGTCGACCAAAGGTGCAAGGAAAAAAATATACGTATACAACATGTATGTGTTGTATAATTTTTTCTTCCTTTCGTTTCAATCACACTAAAAAAAAGGCAAATTTTTATACAAAACAACTTTTTATATACAAATGGGATAACACTCTTTATTAACGTCTTCTTCAGGTTTCCATATCAGAATGATCAGAGTTAATATCCTGTTCATGCGAGTCGTAATACTTCCCCGGACAAGCCCGCTTCTTCAACAGTAGAGACAATGTGTTTATGTTTGTGTAAAGTTTATTTGTTTAAAACGTACCTTTTTATTTTATTTTTTTTTCCTTTTATTTCGCGTACTTTATTTTGCACCTATGTCAAATTTACTCTAATTCCAGGGTTGACTGGAAGAAATTGCTTAACAGCATTAAGTTTGCCTTTTGTCTAGCGTCAACTTGGAGTGTAAACAATCAATGTCTTAAATAAATACCCCTCCTTACCTAAAAACCTGCCTGTTCACCAATTCGAGAGAAAAGTGCGAGTACAGTAATAACGATTTGATATTATTACCCGTTTTAGTTTTCCTCGTATTGAAGAAAAATATTTAATTTATTTTACTGTAACTAAATACTTTCTCGCTTGACTTGCACAAGGAAATGAAAGGTACCTTTCCCTTCTTCAAGTAAGAATAAATCAAATAAGATAAATAGTAGAATAGTTAAGAATTAATATGTAACTTTCCTAACGAATAACTATATACAATTGATACAATTACCTCTTCAAGATTTAAAAAACCAGTAACACTAAATTGATATCAATTCTTTAATATCACCGAATATTGAAATATGCTATAAATGAATGAATGAATGCTATAACAATTAGTAATGAGTTGTCTAGAAACATTATTAAATCACCCGAATCTACAGGTTTTTTATTGTTATGCCTCACTTGCTATGGTATTAAGTCGTGATACAAATTTGATCGATACATTACATGAATCTTCATTATATAGTTTACTTATGGAACACTACGTGTACTACTAATTACTTTGAATACAGAACAACCGCGTGCTCCCTCGTCCTCAATTTCTCGGACATTCAGTTCGCTTCACAATCGCTATAAATACGGTAAAATGATATAAATAATAAGGTCGGATACGGAGACTTCGTTATCACTAATTCAAGACATATTATAACATGAGCCCTTATATTTAAGTCCAAGATTGATGTCACAATTACGGGACTTAGTATTTTGGAATCAGTCACTATTGACTGAAAAGTAGATAGCATGATCGATGTTCAAATTTTTTCCACATATGTTAACTTTTTAGATTTAAAATTATCTTATGTGGTTCATATTATAAAGATATATTCATACTAAAAGTAAAAAGCTTAATAAAAATTGTTCTATAGTATTTTTTTATGTAATATTTTGTATGTATTTGTTATGATGGTAAGCGAGATGGCGGTTACCCGATGGTAAGTGAAAATCACCGCCCATGGACATTTGCAATACTTATAACCCTTCCCCATCACGACGGTCATTTGTCAGGTCGTGGTCCTGATCCGGACGGACCTGCACTTTCATGCAACAGCGAAGACTGTTGGCCTGCATGGCCACACCATAGTTAATTACTAATACGGTATATTAATTTTGAAATAAAAGTCATGCTTAGAAGCTAGTAGCTAGTAAGCTTATAGTAAACTTTTTAATGAGAATTTAGTGGAGTGCGATCAAATTAAATTTCGTGAGCTTTATTTTAATAGTTACACTTGTATTATTACAATACATATTGGGGGCAATTGTTTGCAAGATTTTCTGAGTACAGATTAAATGGAAGCAAACTACAAACTACTCAACAAGCAATGAATAAATCATTAATGAATTTAGGGTGAACTTTATTCCAAACGTTTTTTTGTTCCATGAAAACTTTACTATTACGTTTTAATAACTTGATTGGGCAGAAATAGGAATACGATGTGTAA